CTATGACATTGGGACGTCAAACATCTCAGTCCCTCCCCCCCGTGACCATGGGCGTTAAAGCACCCGAAACGTCGGGATAGTAAAAACAAATTAAAGTAATTAAACGCGATAAAATCCGTAAATAATAGTTTTATTCAATGTGTAGTGTTCGCGTTGAATTATTTAAGGCTTTTAATTCTATAATTTACATTAGTAATTTTTGTGAGTTAGGTTTTTGTGCGGTTTTGTTGTAAAAGTTTTTAAAAGCTAATATTTTACGAAACGTTCTCTAATAAAATTGCTCGATAATAAGAGAAATCACAGCCACCGAATTTTGCTATCTCAATCAATAGCTTTAATACTATCGGAACAACATTAGCGCAGTCATTTAACTTTGACGAAAAAAATTAATTGTATTCCTGACTTTTAAAATGTAGATGTTATTTACGCGTTTTAAATTTTAGCGCTCTATTATTTTAACAGGTAGTGTCATCTACAGGAAAAAAATAATAATGTTTACCAAAAATAAATCGATTACACAAAGTATAAAACCGATATAGTCTGATTGATCTCGACGATTTGTCGAGGGATAAAATAAATATGAAAGCGCCTTAAAATGTAGCAATAAAACTTATAACAGTTAAAAATAATTTTATCGGACTTGACGTTTCGAGAGTAAAGCACTTAAAGGATTGTCGCCGAACATGTAGAACCACGCTGCATTTAAATTATGGCTGTGGCACGAATGGATCGGCTCGACCTGAGTAGGAACACGCTCTCACAGAATGCCAGCGTAAAATTGTTATTTTACGCTGGCATTCTGTGAGAGCTAAATTAAACACATTTCGTATGGTGAGTGTAGAGATCCGGAGACCCTTTTTACTAGGAAAGAGACATTCAATCTCAGTTCGGCGGTGACAGCGCATCTGCATTTTGATTCTTAATCGAGAATAAATGTAGATGCCTAGAAATGGATGCTGTATGCTACAGCATCCCTTATTCTATAAAAATTAAGAATGTTCCGACGAATTGTAATCTCCTCTTTTTTTGGTGAAGTCATTAAAAACCACGCGTTCCAGCGCTCGACGCAACAAAACAGCTGCCATTAACAGTGACCTGGTTACATTAATAGCGAATTTCGGATTCTGATGGACGAACGAGATGATCCATTTCCGCAGGAAGACGATAATTGAATCAGAACTGCCAATCGATTGGCAGATGGCGTTTTCGACCTATACGTTGTATGTTCTATAATAGCGATTTCTTTTCTTCTCTTTTTTTTATTATAAACAAACCAATCTTGCCAGACTCGAGCATTGGCGCAGATTAACCAGACTTTCGGTATTCAATAGGATGCATTTCAGAGAGTGTGCGCGTGAATTGCACGCTTAAATTCCTCCCTATCCTCTCAACCATCGGAAAACAAGTTGGTCGATGGGACTTCATTCCTTTGTTGTCGATATTCCACGCATTAGAACCAAACTTTGTCTTTCGCAATGCGCTCAGCAAAGGAGTGCAATAACTTGCCTGCGCCTGGCTTTCCGTTCGAATACAATTTGGCCATCTTCCAGGCAAGAGTGAATCAACCATCTAGGGCTTCATCACCACTTTCCACCAGGTGGGATTGTGATCAAGCAGGGGCTTATAATGAGTAAAAACGGACAGTATACACCTGTCTGTCCTCACAACCACTTTTTCTATTTATATATTTTATCTTAAAAAAATCCCTGAATGTACTCATATATCTTTGAATGTATATCTTTTGGTATCTATAACGCCTTGTATTCAGTACATCCTAGTGTAGACTGCTCACGGGGGACAAAGCTTGCGCCAAAAAAGGAAATAAACATATCTGAAAGACTGACCTCTTTCATTACTCTAGAGCCGTCGAGCCGCTGAACTAGATTCGTGCCGCGGTGAAATTTTTAATTACTTTCGACGAAATATAGTAATTTTGATACGAGCAGGTGAAGAGCTCTTAGTAGCTTTTGCTATAGAAACATCTGTACGTGGTACGTTTCCAACATCTAGACTTTAGTATTAAGTCTACTGCTGAATATAGGCCTCCCCCATAGATTACGTCATAGGGGCGATATTTATCATAGTCTCCACGCTTTGCGAGTGGGTTGGCTACCGCAGTTTTTTTATTTTTAGTTGTTATTAGGAAAATGTTTCTGATTTGTTTCCCTCTGTCGTCTCTTACGAGCCCACGGGATGATACAGGTTGGTGGATATTCTCACACCGCCACCACACGGTGAGTTTGTGATATTTTTAGTCCACGCAAAAGATTAAACAAGTGGTAAAGTTAAGAGTTTTGTACAACCGACTTCAATATGAATAAAATGAGAACATCCTCAATGTATTCGAAGTCAAAGAAATACGCATTATTAGAGATAACTCGAAACTACTGCTTTAAAATAAAAAAAAAGAATCATCAAAATCGGTTCACCTAGAAAGATGTTCTGAGGTACACATAAAAAAATACAGTCGAATTGAAAACCTCCTCCTTTTTTGAAGTCGGTTGAAAATAACTTTATTTAAAAAGTAAAAGCCGACTTCAAAGAACTAAAAGGAATTAAATAATTTTTAATTAGAGCTTTCCAATAAATTGATTCTGAAGTCGGAGCTTAAGTTAATTTATCCATGCAATATTTCATTTCACCGATTTCAGAAACTTTTGTTTTTATTAAAAGTTAAATTTTTTCATATGAAGTAACTTTTAGCAGGATTCTATTTTTAAAAAGTGCACTACGAATCTCCCGGTCCGGCTACCAAATCCGTAATAAGTGAAAAATGTAGAGTATAAAAAAACTCCAAGCACTCGTTTGAACAAATACGTATGCCTCGTTTGCGTTCACTCAAGTTGTGGAGCTAGTGCCCGCACGAGTGGAATAACGATCCTACTGCAATATTTACCCGGCTCATCCTTCCTGGAAAACATTTGCGTAGCGCTGCACCATTAAAATATAATTTTGTTTTGGTTCTTCGCGGTTGAAAGCTCTATCGATGGTACTTACGGCTCTTTCGATTTTATTTTCGAATTCGTTACTTTGAGGGATTAATATACATATATTTTATTTTCAGACTAGACTTAAAGTTAGTTTAATGCGTGGTAAAGCCATGCTACAGCTGTATAATTGTTGTACCACAAATAGGTCGTTTCGACCGGAGAAGAACCACGCAGTTACACAATAGTAGCTTAATGCTGCTGTTTTTCGTATGGTGAGTGTGAAGAACCAGGAGACCCTTTTTACTGGAAACAAAACTTTCAATCTTGGTCCTTAAGGGTGACAGCGCATCTGCATTTTGATTCTTCATCGTGAATTGATGTAAATCTCTATGGATCACAATATTCACTTACGATCAAATGGACTTTATGCTCTTTGGTCACCCTTATTATATAATAAAGTAATATGTTTAATTACGCCCAGGATACGGGCTAATGTTACGTGTGGTAACACGGAGCTTATTCGAAATATACAGTGGTTGGAAAAATTCTATAGCGTGATTTAAATTTCCGTTGTTGGTACGTCCGTTTACGCTTACGATACTGGAATAAAACTCATGTTATAATCAAATAAAAACGAATGAGCATATATTGAAGAGGATGAGGGAAGATAGCAGAAATCAAAGAATAATAAAAATAAAAAGGAGCGAAGAGTTAGAATTTTTTTCAAACCTCACTTCTTCAACTTTTCCAGCATTTTCCTTAAATAATTCTTATTAAACCCTTCATCCACTTTATAAAATTCAAATGCTCCTCACAAACAACATCAAATAAGCCTATGAGCGAAATTCAAATTAAATACGATGTAATATCCGCTTATGGCTTAAGTGGTATATAAAATTATATATAGCGTGTTTCAAATTACAAAGCTGAGGCACGCCGAAAGCCACACGGATGCTTCGGAGTGGAAGTAACGCCATAATTATTAAATTCCGCCTTTTTCGCGGAGGCGTGCTAAATATTAGCTGTTTGCTGAACTTTGGAACAAAGAGATATTGCGCAAGAATCTACTAGGCTTTGATTTAACTACGTAACTTACCATATTACTTTTGATTTTTTTTATAAAACAGAAATAGCACCCGAATGTACAGCCTACTTAATGATGAATGGAAGCTATGGACCGTAACATTTGCAACCAACTTCAAATAAAATTCGAAATTCGAAATTCGAATCGATAAATCTAAAAATGCGTTCCACCACAAAGGCATTAGATGGAATGCCCCTCAGTCAGTAATTATCCTGGCTCTCTATACCCCTCAGGCCGGAACATAGCAGTGCACGCACTGCTGTTTGCCGGCAGAAATGGGTTAGATGGTCGTACCTAGCTAGACAGAAAATTTATGCTACTAACTAAAAACGAAACGAAAACTAGAGAAATTGTCCTAGTAGCAGTTATTTTTAGATTTAATACGATTATTTTAGTGCCAAAGTCTCAACAGTCATACCAGAAGACTAAGTTGTCATGCTTCTTTTCCAGTAAAAGGGTTCTCGGGTACTCTACACTAACCATACGAAACACAGCAGCATCAATCTGATATTTTACGCCCGATACCCATTCGTGCTAGAACTACAATATTGCTAAAACAGGGCTCTTTGTGTACGTATCTAATCTAATATAATACGTGGTAGAGCCATGCTGCAGTTATATTAGTAGTATAGTTGTATCACGAATGGGGCGGCTCGACCGGGGAAGGACCACGCTCTCACAGAATACCAGCGTCAAATAGTAGCTTAATGCTGCTGTGTTTCTTATGGTGAGTATAGAGAACTAGAGACCCTTTTTACTGGAAACGAGGCATTCCATCTTAGTCCTCACGGGTGACAACGCATGTGCATTTTGATTCGTAATCGAGGATAGATGTAGATGTCTATGGGCTACAGCAACCACTTACCATCAGGTGAACTGTGTGCTCGTTTGTCAGCCTATTCTATAAAAAAACATATACTAGGACCATTTTTGATTTTATTTCTATTTCCGTAATTACAAGAAATAAATAACCACAATCTTTACAGCGAGCCGAGAAAATGAAGGAGATTCGCGTGGCTATCGATCTGCGGAAGAGCAGGCTCGGGAACTGGCGCGCTCTATCAGACGTGAGGTGGCCAAGCTGGCTGACAAGTGGAACACCTTGGTAGACCGCAGTGATGCCTGGGGACGGTGTCTCGATGACGCTGTACAGGTATGTCGTATGAATTATACTTAGTGCTAAGTTAAAATTTATATCTTTTGGCACGTTTCTATTCGCTTTCGTGTTCAGGTCGCTTAGTAACTAATTTTAAATTAACTTAATAAGTGAGAGAGAAATTTAAAACTCGAACATATCTAAGAATATACTATTCTCAAAGACAATGTAAGAATATTAAAAAAGTGGGGGAAAAAAGCATGACAGAAGCTTTTTATTAAATCAAGTTATATAAAAAAATCGATTATGTATTTTTATTTAAAAAGTGACATGAGAACCTATTTTGTACAACTTATTATATACCTTATTGTTAATTCGGACATAGCTTATAGCTTTATCGAACATTAAAAGAAAGGGGAATGAAAGTGAACGCAAGTAAGACGAAAGTGATGGTTTTTGAAAGAGAAGAAAGTAAAACGATATGTGAAATAAGAATAGAAGGAGAGTTAATTGAGCAAGTGGAGGAGTTCGTATATTTGGGATGTGTATTCAGCAGGGCTGGGAGATATGATAAGGATATTGAACGACGAGTGAATGCAGGAAATAAAGTAAATGGGTCTCTACACGCTATTGTGAAAAGTCAGAATGTGTCAAAAAAGGCACGAATGGCAATATCTTCACAATGCTGTATTAGTGCCTACTTTAACATATGGTAGTGAAAATTGTGTGTGGCAGAAGAAGCACGAGAGTAGAATAAACGCAGTAGAAATGCGGTCGTTAAGGATTATGTTAGGGCTGAATTTGAGTGACAGGGTGAGAAATTCTGTGATAAGAGAAGAGTGTGTTTTGCAAGATGATGCAGTGACCAGGATTAAGAAAGGAATGCTTCGGTGGTTTGGTCATGTGGAAAGAATGAATGCGGAAAGACTGACAAAGAAAATTTATGTTGTAGAAGTGAATGGCAGAGTGGGAAAGGGACGTCCTAGGCGAAAGTTTGTCGACCAAATTGACGGTATATTGAAAACGGGCCAAATTAAGAGTACCCTTAACCGACGAGCATGTATGCGTAGGTATATGTATGTGGAAGAGGCGAGAGAGGTATGTCAGGATCGTGCTAAATGGAAGTCTGTAGTCTCTGCCTATCCCTCTGGGTGACAGGCGTGAGTGTTTATGTTATGTTATGTTCTTATTGTTATTAAATAATTATAAAAACTCAATCAGTCAATCAATAAATATATTCAAAGTAAATTATATTATGGAAGGTACTACAATAGGCGGTCTTATCGCTCTAGAAGCGATTTTTTTTGCGCCCTCCGGAAAGCGGGGGAGGGAGGTAGGGAATACTCATAGCATACCACGCAGCCGGCTGCGTGGTTATGTGGAGACTTTTACCCACTAAACCCCACCTTTTAGAGATTGGCTTAACGGTCTAACTAGAGATCTCTAAGCCGTATACGGACGCGACCCTCCTTGGCAGAAAGGAGGTCGCAAGCTAAAAGCGATATCTTCCAGGCAATATGATACCTATATAATATCTTCTAGGTGCAAAGAACAGATGTTTACAACATATAGAGATGATGTAGGAAATGTAAACAATTAAGTATATAAAGAAAAGGAAAAAGCATAATAACACAAAGTAATCAATTCGAGGAAAAAATTTCCGCTGGGTTACTTACTGGTACTTTCCAGAACCAAAGTTTAATTGCTGATTTAACTTTTCTAATTAAAAAAGTCTCTAATGTATTATTTGTTGTTTGAAGACGAAAGAGACTGAGCGCCATCTAGCTGAATTTAACTGCAATGTGAGGAACTAATCCTGCACCTATATGAGTAGTCGATACAGAACTCATAAAAGTAGTCGTGTTACACAACAGATGGCGTTGTAGGCTTCACAACTTCATAACCGACTACATCATTATGATTCCGTATAATGATTTCTTATATTTACGCGAACACTACACATTGATTCCGTATGTTTTCTTTTTCAACACTAGTTTCATAGAATTCTAATTTATACTTTACCCGCTACGTGGCCTAGCTCCAGTTATCTTTTTATGTTCAGTTACTGTATATTTCTTATTTTAATAAAAACCTTTCCAAGAATCTTTTAAGGATCAACAACAAAAAAATGAGCAATTCGGCTTGAGTGAGCTATAAAATACCTAGATATTTTCGTGAACAACTCCATAAACTCGCTTCGAAGCTTAACCCTTGAAGAATTAATAGAAAAAGTAATTCCTTCTTTAATTTTCGAGTTGCCCATCGGTGGGACCTATGTGAGCTGTCGCTTTGTTTTTTTTTTTTTTGACTTTTATTCATCAAATTAATCTCGTTTCACTTTGTGACTCCGATATTCAGGTGTGACCGATGTAATCCGACTGGACACACCCGAGCATAGAATCTCGTTTAACCGGATATCCGTCACGAGGCCTACAACAATGACTAATAACATAACAATATCAATAGGCGATTAATAATGGGTCACGTTAAAAGAGACTACGTGTTCACACATACAGAAAATTGCTTAATAAAATTATGTAGGTGTGTTAGCTTTTTATATAATTGTATTCATGGATTTATTTAATAGAATACAGGCGTTACTTTGCGGTAATTCATTAGGTATATTAAAAATGTTAAAATTAATTACCTAAATAACCGCGTAAATGTACGCTACTTACGTAGTTTGAAGAGCACCTCCCGCCCTCTACTTACGTACACTATCACCGTCACCACTTATCCCAAAACCACTACTCCCAACACCACTTCACTAGTGAAGACACACCACCGTCGATATAGGCCATGCAGTCATAAGATTTGTTTGTCACCTGACACTGAACTGAGCCTTCAGATTTACACAGGCCAATTTATCATTCCCTTCCAAGTGACCACGGAAATGTACGTCATTAGATATGTCGGGCTATGCTCGGAGCTTCTCTGCGTGATAAACATAGAAATGAGGATATCCGCAGCAGAACCAGAGTGACCGACATAGCCCAAAGGATTAAGCTGAAGTGGCAATGGGCCGACCATATAGCTCGAAGAACAGATAACCGTTGGGGAAAAAAGGTCCTCGAGTGGCAGCCTCGTACCGGTAGACGAAGTGTAGCGCGACACCCAACTAGATGGAGTGACGACCTGGTAAGACATGCAGGAAGTCGATGGATGCAGGTGGCTCAGGGCCGTGCTTTGTGGCATACCTTGGGGGAGGCCTATGTTCAGCAGTGTTCTTGTGAAAAGCTGTAATGATGATGATGATGAGATATGTCGATGGCGATATTTCTGAAAAGGAAGCCATAGGAACTACAACACCCAGAAGACGACACGGGGTGACAGGTTCTTTGAAGACGCACTAAATTAAATTACGGTGTTTTAGAATACATAAGTTTTATGTAATACTTCGTAATCTAGGTTCAAATTATTGGAATACAGATGAATGTTTAAAAGTTTATTTATTTATTTATTTATGCTTTATTTGCACACCGAGTACAAAAAGGCGGACTTAATGCAACAAGTTGTTCTCTGCCAGTCTACCTCCAGGCTAAGCAGAGAAGATATTGTGGGTGCAAAGTGCAACTGAGTTAAAACATCTTTAAGTAGACATATACATTACATATTGCATTACATGTTATAAACATAATTATACATATATATTATTATATAGATATACATACAAGATATATATATATATATATATATATATATATATATATATATATATATGGCTAATATAGTTTATATTTGAAAAAGGAAAAGGGAAGTAATTTGATATATGTATCGACAAACTACTCCTGCAACGCCAGAAAATGATTCCATAGCAAGCGTTTGAACTTTGAACGACGCCTTGCTCGTGGCTGCACGTCACTACACTGCTCGGTAGCTCGTTCCACAATCTTACCGCGTGAGACGTAAAAGATTTATACGAAAAGCTAGTGTGACAGAGGGGGATATAGAGAGTAGACTAAAAGTTCTCTCTCTTTAATTATTTACTCTATGCATTAAGCAGGAAACGACTGCGCTCAACGGCTGAATGGTCATTAATATCCATCGTCGTTCACTGATCACGCTCGCGCCGACCTGATTATTCTAGGCGCGCAATGAAGTCCAAACACTCCCACTTTTGTGAAATTTCTACAATATTATAGTAGAATGTCATAAGCTATGATAGATTAAGAGCCGTATATCATTCATAAGTGATAAAGCTATGCTGCTGCTAATGTTTTTAAATGTAAATAAAATATTACGGTTGTAGCACGAATATGGTGGCTCCAGGAAGTACTACGCTCTCACAGAATACCGTTCGTATGGTAAATGTAGAGATCCGGAGACCTTTTTACTAGAAACGCGGCATCCTTTCTTAGTCATCACGGGTAGACAAACCATCTGCATTTCGACTCTTACTCGAAGATAGATGTATATCTATGAAACAACTTAGTATAGGAAAGTCTTAGGAATAAAATGTTTCAAGGATTATATTATGAAGTCTGTCAACACGCCCTGGAGCTATGCAATGGACTCTCTCCACAAAACTCTCAGAAAAAATTCACCATTCCGGTTCGAATCCGTCGACAACTTTCGTAAACCACTCCTAGCCCAAGAGTTTTAGCATAACGAGGATTTTTTTTGTATAAGAGGGAGCAAACGAGCACGCGGCTCACCCACCTGACCTGATGGTAAGTGACCGCCGCCGGCCATGAACAACTGCAATACCAGGAGAATCGCAGATGTATTACCGGCCTTTAAAAAAGAGTATGCTCTTTTCTTAAAGGTCCGTAATTCGTACCGAAAAATCGCTGGTGGTAGTCGATTTCATAAGTTGATTATGCGAGGAAGGAATATACAGGTGTATGGGGGCCACGGATACCTACAGTATGTTCGTTTAGCACGTATGTATATTGTTAGAGAGTGGTCCTTCTTCAGTCGAGCCTATCCGTTCTTGCTGCTATTATAAAACAGGTTCCGCGTGGATTTAACACTTTATTAGAAAAGAAAGAAAAAAACGACTAATAACTGGAAAATAACTGCGTATGACACAGTAGTTGGGCCTAAATAAATTATCTGGGGGGACTGCTATAGTTGCCACATATGACGGGTTTTCAGTTTTTTATTAAATTGAGTTATTATCAGGAAAATCCTGCTGTCCCACCTCCTGTTTCAGTTTCCCTCGGTCGCCTCTTACGGCACCCGCGGGACGATTACTAACCGACACTACACAGTAATTCAGTGTTTACTTGACTTTAATAATAACATTGTATATCTATAATTCTAACCTAGTTGCAGAACACTGTCATTCAAATTAATTACAACATAGCGTCGCGATACACGCCGCAACGACAATAGAGCTCATTGTGCAGTTGCTGCTTACAAATGGATTTACCAATTTTGTCAACCGAGTTCATAATACGAAATGGTTCTATATTTGAAACGTATATTTTTTAATGGCTGCCGATATTTTCTATCAATTAACACTAATATTTTATTTTTATTTTTATTAACCACATAGGGTGACGCAGCTGCTCATCTCCGTGTTTTGTTTCCCTCTGTCTCTAATATATACTCACTCACTAATCTACGCTCTGCCGGTTCTTACTACACTCACGAAATAAGGGGTCAGTGGATGTTCTGAGACCGTCAGTACACGGTTGCCACAGAGTATTTTTGCTAGAGAGCTCTGCACCCTTTTTTACAATTCTAAACGACGCATGTGCTCCTTGTACTTGAAACCTAAATTTCAATACGTGATTCTCATAATTGTATTCTGTTCCTCGGGTAATCTCGACCGGGGAAGAGCCACGATCTCACAGAATACCAACGAAAACTAGCAGCTTAATCCTGCTGTATTTCGTATGGGGAGTGTAGAAAACCGGAGACTCTTTTTATTGGAAACGAAGCATTCCATCTTAGTCCTCACGGGTGACAACGCATCTGCATTTTGATGGGTAATTGAGGATAGATGTAGATGTCTATGGGCCGCAGCAACCACTTACCATCAGGTGGACTGTGTGCCCGTTTGTCACTCTTATTCTAAAAAAAATATCCCTCCTGATTTTGCCAAACTTGCCATGATTGGCAGGTTATTATCAGGAAGATGGTGGATCTTACCGGTTAAATAGCAAATACATTCCATCATTATAATCAGCCATGCTAGTTAGATAATTATAGAAGCAATGTCAAGCCTTTGTCTTTCTAAGGTTTATGTATACAAAGGTGAAAATAGCATTGATTGTTATCATGGCTGATTCCTATTTGCGTCGCATTGCATAGGTAGTATGGCTGCCGTTTGCAGCTTTTGTCCACGCTTAGTGACTGTGGCTGCGCTGTTTCAGTCATGAATCGACTGTTTCTAGTGTTACCATGTTTAAAAAAATTAGGACATAATTGGGATATTTGAATAATTATGTTGAAATTTGTTTTTCGTAATTGAGCCATGTTATGAGAGCTTCCCCAGAAATTGTGCAATTGCATCACCAGTTTTCTGGCTGATCGAAGCATCAAGGTCGTTGTAGACGGTGCTTGCTCTGATTACAAGCCCATCAATGCTGGTGTTCCACAAGGCTGCGCGATATCACCAACACTAATTCTTCTGCATATCAATGACATCTTGCAAACCGGTAACATTTATTGCTATGTGGACGACAAAACTGGTGGCATATTTCTTGGGAAAACGTCGCCGGATACCGGAAAAAACTTCTGTCAGAAGTAGAAACATTGTTGAACAAAGTCTCGGATTGGGGTCAATTATATCTGGTCCAATTCAATCTCCAAAAGACACAAGTTTGCACGTTTACCGCTAAAAAGAACCCCTTTATCGCAATTC